TATTCGGAGCTTCGTCTACTAAATGATCGTCCAAAATCACAAAAAGTGAAAATAAAGTCCTAAACATTCTAAACGATTGATTGGGAAGTTGATTAACACTAAACGAGCACTTAACAACGAGCAATTAATTGAAAGCAAGATCAAAAGATGAGCAATTCGCAAACTAGATCACCGGAGTCTCAAGCCATAACCAATACGGGATGATAATCAATCGACATACGGAATAAACGAGCTACGAGCATTAGATTGCTAACCCTAGTCGTCTAGTCGAGATCAACAAGTAATTAACGGCTCTATCTACTCAAGCAAGCAATCAAGTTCAAGCATTTCCACCATCATCAATCAAATCCAATTAACTCTAATGAAAATTATAAGTAAAACCGGAGCAAAAACGAGGTAAAGAGCTTTAGAATTAAATACTCAATCTCCCATTGCGTAGACGATGAAAAACGGAGTCAAAAGCTCGAAACTTGAACGAAACCGAAGTCGCCGGAACATCTCTCGGAAAATGACATAAGCTCCTAATCTAGAGAACAAAATAAAATAAAAGCTGATTTCCCAAAGTGGAAAAGTGAAAAATGAGAGATGGATCCCCAAAATGCAAAGGAACAAAAATATTTATAGTACCACCCACACACACACACACTAAAACACGCAGAATTAATGAGACACTCTCGACGTCTCCTCAAAATCCGCGAGCTTGCGGTGTGGGAGTGCACGGACGCACGGGGCTGGGCGACACTCTCGACGGCGCGCACATGTCCGCGAGTTCGCGAGCGTGCGGTGTATTGGGGGTAGGCGCACTCTCGAGCTCGCGTGCGTATCCGCGGGCGCACGGGCGCGGCTTCCATGGCTCTCGATGTCGCGGTTCTGGGCGCGAGCTCGGGAGCGTGGCAGATGGACGTGCTCTCGATGTCGCCGATGTTGGGGTGAGCTCGCGAGCGGGTATTCTGCTTCAGCCGCGCGACACTCTCGAGCACGCTGAGGATTCCGCGAGCACGCGGGTGGGCATATGTGCGTGCGAGGCGTGCGGGCAGCGTTTGCGCGGGCGTACGGCGTGCTGTGCATCCGCGAGTGCGCGGCTTGGGCTGCGTGGTCGCGAGCATTGGGCAGCACACATCCGGGCTCGACTAAGGCTCGACATACTCGACCGGAAATGTTCGTACAAATGGCTCGGAATTTCTAGGCATTCTTGGGACTTTCGCTCGAATTCCTCATCATCCTCGAAAAAACACCTGAAAATGCAACAATAACACGGACAAGTACGCCAAAATATAAAATAAAACAAAAACACGAAAACACACGGAAAATGAAAAAATGGACCGGACGACACTAAAACGAACCTAAAAATGACTCGATGACACATATAAACACATAAAAATAAGCACAAAAACATAACAAACATTACTGCCATGCCACGTGTGATGAAGGCTGTCAACATGTCAAGAAAAACGCCACATATTCGCCACATGGCTTATCGCACATGGCTTATCGGGTCTTTCAGGCCCGGAATTGCATCAAAAGTCCTATTTTTGATTACTTTTTGAAAGTTGTGCGACTATTTGTGATAATCGCTTTCTTGCAGGACAAAAAATGGCACCCCCTTCAACCTGTGGGACTAATTTTAAATTTTCTCTAACTGAGTGTGTGTATTTTTTTCATCTCTTATCATCTAGTGTGGTTGTTGTATATCATATTTGGATTTAATTTTATGGTCCATTATGGAAAATCAATTTATTGGTATTGTTGAATTTTTAGAAATTCATATAGAGCACTAGAGATGTCAAAACGGGCTGGCAGGGCGGGCCAGCCCGCAGCCCGCCAAAACCCGCCATTTGGCGGGGCGGGGCGGGCTACGAAATGGCCAGCCCGGCCCACCCCCGCCATGGGCCGCGGGCTCGGCGGGCTGGCCCGCCGATTTACAAAAAAAAAAAAAAAAAAAA